TCACCATGTTGACCAGGATGGTCTCGATCTCTTGACCTCGTGATCCACCCGCCTCGGCCTCCCAAAGTGCTGGGATTACAGGCTTGAGCCACCGCGCCCGGCTAGACTCACAATTTCAAAAATGTCAGAATGGAGAACACATGCCAATCTTATCTTTATTTAAAATTTTGATATTTTGTTCATCATTAATTTTTTGCATTAATTTTGATACCTAAAGATATTAGTTCTCTTGATTGCTGAGTTTCTTTAGCACTCATTTAACTTTACACCCAAGGCAAGTGCCTCACTTGCCTTCCCTAGTACCAAACCTGCTGGTGGCTATAGTAAAATAAAACCCTGATCATCCACAATTGCCAACAGAAGAGTATTCTCCACATATGGATGAAAGCGGGGACCTTTAAGCCAAGATTTCTGTCTCTACAAAGTTCTCTCACCCTAGGGTAGCGCTCTTTAATATCTGCCACTGCCATCCCCATGCTATCTTGGTGTTCTGTGAGGCCACAGACCCTTTTTGTAAGTACTTATGCCCCTGCTGGACCCAGGATTAAATGTTCTAACCACAAGTTAACATGGACTCCAGGATGGCAACAGAGAAATTAACATAGCAAGGGACCTGGCATGAGATTTTCTGGTTCAGACACATAGGACTTGCTTCCCAGAGTTTATAGGCCTTGCATAGACCATTCTAAAGTCATCACAGAGAACCAAGGAGCAATTTGCTCTGGCTTTTACCCATCCTCAACTGTCCCCTTCTCACTTCTAACCAGAGCTCCTCCTTCTCTTCCTTGCTGCAGACAGAGCCCCAGAGTTTGGGCAATCAACCTCTGCTATCATATGAGGGTTTGCAGCTCTGCCAGCCCCTGTGTCAAGCACTGAGGAGAGATGCCAGACTTAGGTCCTGCCCTGAAGGAGCTCCCAGCCAGTCAACCACAATATGGTATGAGGTAAGCACTGTGACAGTGGTTCACATTCTGCTGAAAGGAGCCAGGGTGACATGGGAGTCCCACAGTCTTAAAGCCTGACTCAGATCAGCAGACAAGGAGAGGAGAAAAAGCCCTATAGGCAGAGGAAGAGCAACTGCACCGGCATTGAGACAGGATGACCTAGCATATGCAGGACCAGGGAGAGATTGCATGTGGCTGGAGAACTGGGTTGTGCAGTGGAAGAGACAGGAAAGTGAGGCAGAAGGGATGAGCAGGGTCCAGATAAAGACAATTCTCAGTACCAACCTGAGAAGCTGATCCCTAAAGCACTGAGGTGACTTTTGACTCTGTTGCTATAAGTATTCTCCATTTTCAGGCAGCCCAGATGTGAAGGGGAAGTGCAGAGATAAGAATTTACAACTGAGGCTGGGTGCAGTGGCTCACACCTGTAATCCCAACACTTTGGAGCCTAAGGTGGGAGGATCACTTGAGTCCAGGAGTTGAGACCAGCCCAGACAACATAGAAAGATCCCTGTTTCTACAAAAAATAAAAAATTAGCCATGCACCATGGCAAACACCTGTAGTCTCAGTTACTCAGGAAGCTGAAACAGGAGGATTGCTTGAACCCAGGAGGTTGAGAGGCTGCAATGAGCTATGATTGTGCCACCGCACTCTAGCCTGGGTATATAGAGCAAGACCTCAACTCTTAAAAAAAAAATCTGC